AGATAGATAGATAGATAGATAGATAGATAGATAGATAGATAGATAGATAGATAGATAGATAGATAGATAGATAGATAGATAGATAGATAGATAGATGTTGATGTTGTTGTTGTTTTTAAATCCCTTTAGCTGCGAACATTTCGCTCTTGGCAGCGCAATGCCTCCCTCAAGAAGCCACATGTCCTTGAAGATAGATAGATAGATAGATAGATAGGTAGATAGATAGATAGATAGATAGATAGATAGATAGATAGATAGATAGATAGATAGATAGACTCACCATCTGTCCCCATTGTCTCTCTCTCTCTCTCTAGGTATTGTCATCATCATGTTTCTCCGTGGACATCTGAACGAGTGGACGCTGATTGAGCAAGGGACGCTACTCCTCTACACAAGCTCCACCGCGTACGTCAACAGTCTTGTAAACCCAATCATCTACGCCTTCAAGATCTCGTCCGTTCGACGGCGCTTTCTGCAAGTTTTCTGCTGTAAAAGCGGGTCGTCTGCAGGGCTCGAACCCAGTTTCTACACGGCATCTCAGAAGAGAAAACCAAGCGGCCATGCTGCTCATGTACGTCACGTCCCGAACAAAAGCACGAACGTTTTGCCTGAGATCAGCAGTGCGTGATTGGTTGTGGTGGAGAAAGTGCGCAGTGGACTAGGCTAGATGTGCTTGCTTCAGTGTGCCTGTAGTACTTGTAGTTTTTAAATGTAAGCTTTCTGTTCTTTGGAGGAAAAAGGAACAGGTCAAGTTGGAGAATCTGAGGCCATCAAACGAACGGACTTTTTTTATAGTAGACGGTTTTACGGCACTCGCAACTGCATAAGGTCATATCTGCGCCAAGGGGTGGGTGTCAACAGAGAAGTCTTTACAGGGAATCAGACTTAGACTGCTCACCTCTCAAGCTTCAACAGCCCAAGGTCTGCTTCGACTATCAAGGCACCCCAAAATAGCAGGTCACAAGAGAGTGACAAACATACAATAGAAGTAGAGGAAAATGACAATAGTAAGGATATCAGGAAAGAAAAAGCAGCAGTTCCCTGTAGTAGATCAGGCACAGTTATGAGCGTGACATGAGTCAGCCCATTTACAATTCAACTATGCTTGAACGAGAAATGTCCCCCATTTGGGAATGGCCTAAAGACACTTTTTTCAGTGGCACTGCCCCAGGGGGTGTACGGTAGAGCTGGGCGAAGAGTCGATTCCGGAACCGATTCGCACGGTTAATACTTCGGAAGCAAAGTTCCGTTTCCTTTTTAAGTAAACCAAATGTTGTCAGTTACTTTTATCACTAAAATTTTCTTCTTTTTCCAAAGATTTTTTTTTAGAAATAGAAGTTTATTCTTTGTAGTGTTCGGAAATCAAGGTTATCCTAAATCCTGAAGATGTTCGGAGCCAACCAGGTAACCACGGGAAAAACCCACATCATTAGAAAGTAAGTAATTGGGTTCGGAGTCGATTCCTACGATTCCTAGATTCTTAGCTTTCAATAATCGGGAACGTAGCAGCCCAGCACTAGTGTACAGACTTTGTTAGTTTCTCTTAGACTGTGATCTGAACGGATTATTACGATCTTGTCGGGAGTGCGCTAGTCACTTCAGACAAACCAAGGGCTTGTCATTGGGATGCTACAGGTTGCCCGCAGATGATTCCAGAATACTGTATCTGTCCTCGCATAATTTAGCAAAATTTGATCTTTTTTTTTGGGCATAATTTCTGATTATTTTCCTTTATCATTCTTTGTTTAGATTAACAGAATTGCATAATTTCACATTTTAGGCTCAGTTTGTGTAATTTCAGAATTTGTTTTGCATAAAAGGGCGGGGCAGAATACTTTTCTGTACCAGAGTTCCTGGACGGAGGACAGCTTCCATTTCCGAGAATGTTTGTATTTGTATATATATATATATATATATATATATATATATATATATATATATATATATATATATATATATATATATATATATACATACATGTATTAATTTTATAGTTATTATTTCTACTAGTTTTCGAAGGCCGTAAAGCACTGACTTTATGAACGAAATACAGTTCTGTGATATTCTCATGCATATCAATAATATCACGAATGAGTCGAGTAGTTTTCGAATGTGCTCAGATCATGAAACGTAAACTATGTAGCCTATACATTCTGAGAGCTTTAAGTCATAAACCATGTAGCCTATACATTCTAAGAGATTTAAGTCATAAACCATGTGTCCTATACATTCGAAGAGCTTTAAGTTAAGAGTAATCAAATCCTGTCTGTTTCTTTCTTTTTTTTTCTTTTTTTTTTCTTCTTCTTTCACATTCAGCACTTTAATGCTTTTAATTCTAATTTCGTGAGTGCCTTTGGTATCGATTCTGTGAAAAGGAAAATATCATCTCCATTATATCTGGTGTCAGACCAAAGATCGTGCATTACAAGATAGTTCACTCCTCTCTTTGAGCCAATAAAAAAAATGTTCTCAAAATTCGGTGGCGCCCTCTTCGAAAAAGTACGGACTTCGCGATATGAGACACCCTACTTGTGTGAAAAACTATAAAAATGAAACTAACAAGCTGCGCTATTCCTATTCTTCTTCTGGAGAAACAAAAGAGAGCTTCAAAACAAATACTGCAGCGACATCCGAACCAATGCGCGGACTTCCGCGGACACTTTTTTGGCTGAGTGAACCATCTTGTTATGTACGATCTTTGGTCAGACACAGCATTGTCTGATCGACCGTCCTCCGTGTCCTTATCTGCCTACTAAAAAAAGCGTACATCTATTTCTACTCCTAAAGCATGTATGCACTAAATATAGAAATCTTAACCCTATCCGTACGTCGTGTTTTACTATCGTATATATAATATGACGTGGGGAACTCTGTGCCACCACTTTCCAAAGAGGAGATTCGTACGCTTTGCATAGCAGTCTGTCAAAATGATATTTTGAGAAATACTGAAAGCTTCAAAGAGATCTTCGCACTAAAAGTATTCTAAAATGTGAAGAATACAACGTGCGGATAGGGTTAGGCTAATGTGCATGACTAAATTATAAGTAAGCGGGAGGGGTGTTGGGTGGTTGGTAGAGGAGGTAACAGTACAGAGACAATAACATTATATAATGGGCGATTCATTGCGAACAAAAAGAAACGTCACCAAAGCAGTTGGAATGCATCCTGTTTTCGAAGATGAACAAATGAAGATTGAATTATTGATGTCTGTATTTGTGATGTTGGGTTTCGGTTAAGTTTCGACAGAGCCAGCCAACGGGCAAGAGATGAATTTTGATAACTGTGATAATTTTACGCACTTTCTATATTATATTACTTTGTACGTGTCGTATTGGAAACTCGCAGCAACAATTAATGATCACGTTCATGATTATTTATTCCATTTTCTAACACAATACCTCTCCACCGTCCATCAGTTAGGCTCACATCGCACGTGCCCTCTTCGTGTTTTATGTTACTCCTCATCTGAAATATTCATTTCTCCGTTCTGTTTTGAGTGAGCATTGACGCACAATCGTTGGCGAGAGCCATGCACAGTTCCGTTATTGCCGTCGGTGCAGTTCAACCGTTCGGCTTCCGAGCGTCAATTCAACATGTCAACTTCATGACTACAGGAGAGTTTAATTGCTTTAATTACATGATAGTTATTGTGTCACGACGTGGTGGAATCAGGCGCTCGTCAACTTTTAGGCATATAATAATAATAATAATAATAATAATAATAATAATAATAATAATAATAATAATAATAATAATAATAATAATAATAATAATAAATAGCATTTGTATAGCGCATATCCCCGCTCAACTGCAGGCTCTATGCGCTTTACACTATATTATTACCCCAGCAGACCACAGAACACTCCGAAACATTCTCAGCTTCCCGGGAAGCATACAGTGCAAGCAGCTGATTAAGCCCGCAAACACTAACAAACTGACAAGATCTTTCGCTGTCTATAGCCGGGTACCCATTCCCACCTGGGTGAAGTGAGGAAAATTCGTGTAAAGTGCCTTTCCCAATGACACAACGTCGGGCCCCTGACGGGATTCGAACCCACGACCTTACGGTTGCGAGTCCGAGAGATGGGGTCATCAGTATCATCTTAATGCCTGTTCATTTGCCTTGCTTTTGGTGAAAAAAATGTGCTTCTACGTTGAATAGAAGTCGAAATATTTGTGATTGAAGGAGGTCAGAGTCGCCAAAGTTTGGTAACTTCCATAGCCTCGGCAACCGAAAAGTTGCATTTTTTTTGGTGCCGTTAATCAATGTTTTTCAATAAAATTCACATGGAACTATGTTTTTATAAGGACATAAAAGGATTTAAGCCAAAAACAAAAATTCAGTAAAAATTGTCTACCTGGTGGAAAAATGCCTGTTTTTTCCGATTTCATTATTTTGACTAGCACCTGATTTTAACGCGCTATCTCACTATAGATCCTTGATGGGTTCGCGAGGAAGTTGAATAAAACATCACATCTCATCAGTGTCATGACTGGTTGTAAATGTGAGGCAACATGGCGAAATCAGGCGCTCGTCAAAATTGTCAAAGTCAAGACACTGGCATTTTTCCTCAGGCTTGTGAATTTTTATCGAATTTTGTTTTTTTTGGCTCAACACCTTTCATGCCCATTACAGTACAGAACACAATTCTGAGTGGATTTTACTGAACAACGTTGATTAAAGGCATTAAAAAATGTAAATTTTCAGTCTCCACGGACTCTCTTGGTAAGGAAATAACTCTTCTTTGGCAGCCATTTTCTTACAAGATTTACCCCTGCTGAAACCATGTGACCCTCACCTCCTTCATTAGCAAATGTCTCGACTTCTGTTCAAGATAAATGGACATTTTTTATTCATCCAAAGCAAGACAAATGAACAAGTTTTATGATGATACCAATAACTCTACATGCCCAAAAATTGACGAGAGCCTGATTCCACCGTGTCGTGACACAAATGTTTTTACAAGGCCGTCATCAGTGCTCCGAACTTCCTAGTTGTCGAGATAGCCAAAATAGCCAACGAGACCACGGTGGATTATTATATTTGTGTCACGGCACGGTGAAATAAGGCTCTCGTAAGTCTTGTGGCATATGGAGTTATTAGTATTATCTTAAAGCTTGTCCATTTATCTTGATTTCGATAAAAGAATTCCCCATCCTTCTTGAAAAGAAGTCAAAATATTTCGGATTGATGGAGGTGGGAGTCACGTGGTTTCCGAGGTAAAACTAACAAGAAAATGGCTGCTAAAGTTTAGTGACTTCCAAAGTTTTAGAGTCCTTGAAAAGTACAAATTTGCATTTTATGTGCTTTTCATCAAACGTTTTTCAGTAAAAAATCCACACTGAAATGTGTTTTTAAGTAGACGTTAAAGATGTTAAGCCAAAAAATTCAATAAGAATGGTCAAACCAGCAGAAAAATGTAAGTTTCTTCAATTTCATGATTTTGACGAGCTCCTGAATTCACCTGTCTCACATTTGTGTCATGACACGGTGGAATAAGGCATTCATCAGTCTTGGGGCGTATGGAGTTAATAGTTTTATCTTATAAGGCTTACTCATTTGTCTCGCATTTGGCGAAAAAAAATACCCATTTATCTTGAGTAGAATTCGAGATGTTTGCGATTGAAGGAGATGGGGGTTGTCTGGTGTCAGAGGTAAAATTAGCGAGAAAATGGCCGCCAAAGTTTGTTAACTTCCAAAGCTTGGGTGTCCTTGGGAACAACAAATTTACATTTTATTGTGCCTTTGAACACCAATTTTCAGTAAAAATCCACACATAAATGTGTTTTTAAATGGACATAAAAGGTGTGAGCCAATAAAAATAAACATTTATAAACCA